CTTCAGGATTCGTTCCCTTTTCTTACTGAATGAAGGGGCTTTTTGTGTACAAATTTCTATTTTCGCTGCTATCGCTGCCTAAAACAGAAGTTCTTTTCCTAAACTGCCCGTTATTCCCTCTTTGAGGCTTTGCCCTGTGTAAGAAAGAGTGGTGCCTCCAGGGCAGCATCCGTTCAAGAAGCGGCTTGGTGGTCCTTTCCTCAGAACTTATAAGCCCTGACAAGGTATTTGTACCATGGAATCGTAGGATTCTGGAGACGTCTTCCAGTCAGTTATAACTGCTTTTACCTCTAACTAACCAACACGACAGCGTTTGTGGAGGAAGGATCTGTAGGAGGATGGTCTGTAGAAGAACGAGCTACTCTAGCATCTCAAGGTAGTATCCTCATGAACGAGTAACGTACTGAGAACGATGCGTAATTTCACTTCAAGGTTCAAGATAATTGGCAAACGGCTAGTAGAGGAGAGGATGTGTTCCGTGAGGATATATTTCGATAGTTGATAACCCCTGTAGGCTTGAATCAACTAGCCTTGGCATTTTCTCCTGAAAATCGTATTGGTCAGCTTCAACATGCTTAAACCACTTCTTTCTCTCCAAAATGTTTTCTAAAACAGACCAAATAACTCTCCATTCAAATTTGCAACGATGCCGGCCTGCCACGTTCCGGTTTCCGATTTCCAGAAGACACGGATTGTAACAAGATGACCGCCACCGACTCTTGTGAGATAGTGTTTTCAGAAGTCCCCATGTATTCTTTCTCTTCACTTCTCTCCAGCAGTCCCATAGCTAAGCAGACATCAGGCTCAACCGTGGTCAACGCACGGCCAGTCGAAGGGTTGGCTCTAGCACAAATGTTGAGCACGTCAATCTCATATTCAGTAGTGGCACCCTCTTTTTCTATTTTTCACTTTTACTTCTATGAGCTGCTCCAAACTAAAGCCAGGTGAAAAGATGAACAGCGTCTAAGAAATAACACTAACACTACAGCTAAATCGAGCTGCTGTAGCCTAGGTCGTAAATTAGTTTGAGTTGTGGCTACATTCAACCTAATCGAGCCGCTCCACGGCTGAACACGTTAGCTGTTTTATTAATCCATGCTGTTGACTACTTAGAAGCCTACAAACTGAAGTCAACCAAGTCAACGGTTGTTGTCAGAAGGCTGCTTTCCGTTCAAAAGCGATAAGATATAGCGTTTTCATAGCTAATTTTAGGCATTTGTCTAATACATAAAACTGGATGGAAGCCGTGGTAAGCTTAGGTGAGATAGGTATGATCTATACAGTGATGTCCTCAGAGGCTGCTGCCCTCTGGAATACCATTTTTGTCCCCGTCAACCGCTAGGACCACCCCTTCCCTGTTCATGCTTAACGCTTTCTCTGGACTTACTCAACATGTAAGATCAAGTGAAGGTCGCGTAGAAGTGATGCGTGTGAACGAATGAGGCGCATCCTCTGACCTAACACCGGAAAATCTGTCGCATAAAGCTGATGGCTGACTGAGTGACTTATCATGGCGCTGTGTCAGCTGTGAAATATGACTTCCAGCAATGCCATGAATTCTTTTGGAAGAAAGTAGGAGCTGAAACAAAGAGGCTGTCACCGACCACCCACACCCGCTCCCCCATCTTCTCATCACTCCTTTCTCTTTCCAGCGGTCGATAATGCCGGTAGTGTCAATAGTGTCGTTGAATCTGGAATTATTTGATAAGTCCAGCTCCGCCCAAAGGCCCGAAATTCCCTCGTGTGGGTGTGGGAGGTAACAAAACATACAGTTTTATTCACTCTTTGCAAATTTTTCCTCTCCAGAGAATTTTCCTCTCCTTATAAATACGACCTCTTTCCCTTGCACCACTACGGTCCCTCCAAGAACATCAACTGCACGGAAGAATCTGAGTGGGATCATTATGAAACAGTGTTGTAGGATGGATCTAAAGGCAGGTTATTTTACAGGGCTAGAAGACGTCTTACATCGTGAGCACTGAGGCTCAAAGGCAAGATTCAGGATTAAATTATGAGGTAATTCCACTCAAATGTGAAAGTAGGGGTAGGAGGTGGACCGCCAGTGGAGAAAAAAGAAAAAAATCGTGAAATACACAGGAAATACGAGCCTTTTGCTCTACGCTGCGGAGAAGTTCAAAAGGCCGGCAGGGAGATGAGAGATAATGTGAGCGCGGAGAGCGCTAGAGAAGTCCGAGTAGAGAGAGCATAGCAGATCAAAGCGACGCAGACAAGATATCGAGCGGTGGGCGGAGCGTGTCGCAACAGGTGGAGCGTGTCAAAGTTCTTAGCGCCTAGCGTCTAAATAACGCTTTTCGAAGTAGGGAAGTGACGCGACCTCTACACTTGCGTACCTAGCGCTTCTAGCCACCGTAAAGGCTCATTAAGTGGGTCTGAGCCCGAACTTTGCCTTCAAGCACGCAAATCCTCTTCATTGAGAGCAGCGAGGAAATCAAACTTAGCCAGAAAACGTTATTTTATTGCGTTCGCCGCCGAAATGAAAAGGAAATCCATTTGATGGCAGTGATACGGCGAGGGCAACGCCGAGCTGAAATCGTTGTTCACAAAATTGAAAATGGTCTTCCAAGGAACAGTGGCGGTGGAGAAATCCTTAGGGACAAGATTTATTCACAGCAGAAAATGTTTCCACGGAATAAGAAGTGGAAAAAAATTGCTGTGAAATAGAACGAATAGCCGATGACTAGTTTAAAATTGTAGGGTACCTTGACCTTTTCTTTTTTTTTCAAACCATTTCGTTGAATAGAAATAGCTCATTATAAGCAGTTTCAATTCTTCCTGTTATGAGTTTTTCACTTTTCAATAGTTTAATTGCAATCTTCATTCAAACCTCCCTAAGTAGTACCGGACTTGTATTAGGGTACAAGAATCCTGACTGTTGGGCTGGCTCTCACAGGTCAGTGTTTAGCCTAAATTATTTTCATATCCACCACATCTCTGAATGTAATTGCGCTGGGCGAGTTTGCGAAGTAAACTGTTTAAGAGACGCTGTATCGGGGAAGGAGACAGACCAGAGCATAGGGGAAGGGCAAGACAATGCAACGCTGGGCGTGCATGGTTGCTTCGGGTATCGGGGGGTTGCGAGCCCTATCACCACTGTAGTGCATTTTGGGCACTAGCTAAGGTGACGCTGGTAGACCCTACGGGTGAGGATCTAGCAAACTCATTTGCGATGCTCTCTGTAACAAAGACATGGTTGCGTAATGCGCCCTTAAGGCTGCTCCACATCGATGCGGAGGACAGTTTGGATTTCGCTCACTGTTCAGTTCATTGGGCTTCATAAGCTATCGTTAGAAGCAGTGAAAGAGTATCTGATTCACAATCGCAGGGTATCTAATTTCGGCCTTAGTCGCAGCTATGTACAAAGAGGCGCTGCCATCCAATACAAGCAATTTACTCCCTTCGAACTCTTCGAAACAGATAAAGACAGGCGGTGCTTCAGTTTTCCGAGGTAACTAGTATGAGGAGAAAATTCAGAATGTTTAAGTGCATTTCGCCTCAGTTTCGGAATAGCGTGCGTTAGCACGCTAGCAAATATTCTCCGAGGGTACTTATAAAGCACGAAATAAGTCGTTAACAACACGCGAGGCTGCTAGACGATATCTACCACTGCGACCTCTTCGGATACCACATCGCGTTAGCGGTGCCATTGCTTTCACACAAGAATTGTAGTGTTACTAAAATGGCAAATGGTGTTGAGCGAGCCAGGTGTGTGTCAGGAGATCCAGGACGAAACGGTACATAGATTTCATGGCTGGTTGTTTGGATTAGTGTACACATTGCCTTTAGAGATGGTACTGCCCATTCCGTACTTCTCTTACTTCGTGATTTCAAAAAAATCATTGGTTACCTACATTTCTTTTCTAGATTTCTAGTAATAAAGGAAATTACTAATGGTAGAGAAGAAGAAAATGAAAAATTGTGATCACGACAGAATAATAGCAATAACAATAATAATAGCATTAATA